TGGCACCGGCCCTCTGCCACCCCCTTCCTCTCGTCCCCCCCCCCCCCCCCCTGCCCCTTTACACCCCCCCCCGTCCCCGCTATTTTCAACCTTTGAGAATATATCAATGAAGTGACGTCATGTCGAAAGTTTCTTTTAATCTAATTTTTTAATTTCATTTCTTGTGATATTTATCTATTACTTTATCTAGTTATTCATTCATTTATTCGTGATTATTGGCATTTTTCTTACCTTTAATATTTATTATTCTTAGGACAGGGAGAGATTAGCACGTGTGAGGAATTGGTGCATCCGTGTGTTTGAATTTCTCTCCTTGGAAAGTTGTACTCTCTCTCTCTCTCTCTCTCTCTCTCTCTCTCTCTCTCTCTCTCTCTCTCTCTCTCTCTCTCTCTCTCTCTCTCTCTCTCTCTCTCTCTCTCTCTCTCTCTCTCTCGCTCTCTCTCCGCTCTCTCTCCGCTCTCTCTCTCTCCTCTCTCTCTCGCTCTCTCTCTCGCTCTCTCTCTCCTCTGCTCTCGCTCTCGCTCTCGCTTCTTTCCCTCTCTTCCCTCTCTTCCTCTCTTCCTCTCTCCCTCCCCCCCCCACCCCCCCCTCTCTCTCTCTCTCTCTCTCCTCTCTCTCTCCTCTCTCTCTTCTCTCTCTCTCTCTCTCTCTCTCTTCATGAAGGGGAAGGAGAAGACAAAGAAGAACAATGAGAGAGAAAAAGAGAGGAGGGGGAGAGAGAGGAGGGGAGAGGAGGAGAGAGGAGAGGGGGGCGAGAGGGAGAGGGGGCGAGAGGGAGAGGGGGCGAGAGGGAGAGTGAGTGATAAGAGAGTGGGTGGATAGAGAGTGAGTTGATAGAGAGAGTGAGTGAGAAGAGAGAGTGAGAGAGAGAGAAGAGAGAGAGGAGAGAGAGAGAGAGAAGAGAGAGAGAGAGAGAGAGAGAGAGAGAGAGAGAGAGAGAGAGAGAGAGAGAGAGAGGAGCGAGAGAGAGAGAGAGAGAGAGAGAGAGAGAGAGGAGAGAGGAGAGAAGGAGAGAGGAGAGAGAGAGGAGAGAGAGAGAGGAGAGAAGAGAGAGAAGGAGAGGAAGGAGAGAGAGAGGAGGAAGAAGAGAGAGAGAGAGAGAGAGAGAGAGAGAGAGAGAGAGAGAGAGAGAGAGAGAGAGAGAGAGGAGAGAGAGAGAGAGAGAGAGAGAGAGAGAGAGAGAGAGGGAAGAGAGAAAGAAAAGATAGATAGATAGATGATAGTAGGAGCAGAGGAGAGATTAGAGAAAAAAAAAGAACAAAAGGAATCGCAAAATAAAAGGGGAAAACCAGAGCTAGGCAGGCAGACCAAAAGTGGATAAACAAAAAGAAAGAGGTAAAGAAACAGAAGTACCAGAGTTAAGTTTAGCCAGACAGCCAGACAGAGTGCGAGAGAAGGGAAAAACAATAGCAGGGACACAGACAAAGAGAACGAGATGACAGGGGATACTTGGGGAAAGGGAGGAGGAGGGCGAGAGGGGATAACGAAGCGGGGAAAGGATAAGAACGAGGAGGGAGAGAGGGATACGAGGGGGAAAGGGGGAGGGGGAAGACGGGGACAACAAAGGGGAAAAGGGGGAAAGAGGGATAACGAAGAGGGAGGTGGAGAGGAGAAGAGAGCGACATCAGCTTCACTTGGAATTAAATTTAGAATTACTCCACTTGGCAAGAATCCCCGACGCTGCCGACTGAACATGTGACTGCACGGAGACAGCGCGGACGTCATAGGTCAGGTAGAATAAAGTCCATATCATCGCTGATCTTCCTTGCTCGTCACCCTAACGAGCATATATTGTTATTGCTCTATTTTTAGACATTCATTAAAGGCGAAAATGGCTTACATACGGCTAGTCTTTGATGTGATAAGGATGGTTAGCGCGACAAAGCTGTGACATCGTGACATCAAACACACTTTGATTATCGAAGAAAAGAGAGAGAAAGAGAGAGAGAGAGAGGAGGGAAAAGGAGAGAGAGGGAAGGAAGAGGGAGAGAGGGAGGAAGAGAGAGGGAGGAAGAGGAGAGAGAGAGAGGAGGGAGAGGGAGGAAGAGGAGAGAGAGAGGAAGAGAGAGAGAGAGAGAGAGCGAAGAGAGAGAAGAGAGAGAGAGAGAGAGAGAAAGAGAGAGAGAGAGAGAGAGAGAGAGAGAGAGAGAGGAGAGAGAGAGAGAGAGAGAGAGAGAGAGAGAGAGAGAGAGAGAGAGAAGAGAGAGAGAGAGAGGAGAGAGAGAGAGAGAGAGAGGAGAGAAAGAGAGAGAGAGAGAGAGAGAGAGAGGAGACAGAAGAGAGAAAGAAAGGATGAAAGAGGAAAGAGGAGGAAGAGCTAACTACTTCCGAAACCAAGAAAGAAAACCCGAAAGGAATAATTGCCAATGACAGAAGCGATATCCAAAATTAAACAGAAACAACAGCAGGAAAGAATTCTCCCAAGGCCAGATTCGCTCGACTAAACCTTTCCTGAGCGTGCAAGGAGGGATCGAAATCTGATATAAAAGTAATCATGTAACAACCTTGATGCAAGGGCGATCATGGAAGGGCTTCGTAATAGTATAAGAAGTTATTTTTAACCTTTTCGGGAAGGAAAAAAAAACAGCATTCTCACTTTCTCTGTCTCTCTCTCCTCTCTCTCAATTATCTATCTATCTATACACACACACATACACACACACCACACACACACACACACACACACCACACACACACCACACACACAACACACAACACACACACACACACACACATATATATATATATATATATATTATATAGATAGATAGATAGATAGATAGATAGATAGATAGATAGATAGATAGATAGATAGATAGATAGATAGATATATAGATATATATATATATATATAATATAATATATATATATATATATATATAGAGAGAGAGAGAGAGAGAGAGAGAGAGAGAGAGAGAGAGAAGAGAGTAGAGAGAGTAAGAGAGAGAAGAGAGGAGAGAGAGAAGAGAGAGAAGAGAGAGAGAGAAAGAGAGAGAGAGAGAGAAGAGTGAAGAGAGAAGAAGAGAGAGAAGAGAGAGAGAAGAGAGAGAGAGAGAGAGAGAGAGAGAAGAGAGAGAGAGAGAGAGAGAGAGAGAGAGAGAGAGAGAGAGAGAAGAGAGAAGAGAGAGAGAGAGGAGAGAGAGAGAGAGAGGGAGAGAGAGAGAGAGAGAGAGAGAGATAACAGACAGACAGATAGCTAGTTAAAGATATATTGATATTTTTTATTATCATAAAACTACATATTCATTTCATTTTTAGTGATTTAATAACAATTGCCAAAGATCATTTCCAATACCTATCGTCATGCACAAGATCTTAGACCTACCACAAGTTATGGGACAACAATCACTTTCCAAAGCTTACCGTTATCAAACGTAATATATATAGGCCTACCATCCAGTGATTATTATTAAAACGTGATCCTTTTTACTATACATCTGTTGCCCCAATCTATCGCGTAGAGTCTCCATAGTTCAATAAGTAATACACAATAAAACACACCCAGATTTTTTTTTTTTTTTTAAGTTGTGATTTGACAAACACGTTAACCCGTTAACTAGTATTTTGTTCCTTTTCATAAACATTTTTTCGAACCTAATGCTCATCGTAAGATTGTAATTATCACAAGACGTATAAATTATGGAGCGTTTTCCTTAATAAGTAATCGTCAAAAAAATAGTAATAGATATGTACCCTGGATACAAGAACAATAATCAAATGACATATAAATAATATGACTTTGATAAGTCGGTCATCACCCACAGACACATAATATATCTTTGTACGGTATATGATCATAAATATCAAGACAAATTAAAAATAGACTTGATGATTACATTTATTACAAAAAAGACATTCATAACAGAGTGTTGTCCTTAATTATTGGTATATAAATGATGCAACTTTAACCCGTATGAAATATCAATCATCAAGAAGACAAGAGGATGAGGAAGAAGCGGAAATAGAAGAAAGAAGGGAGAAGAAATGAAGAAGAAAAAGAAGAAAGAGAAGAAGAAAGAGAGACGAAGGAAAACGAAGAAGAAAGAAAGAAAGAAAAGGAAGAAAGAAGAAGAAGAAGAAGAAAGAAAGAAAGAAAGAAAGAAAAAGAAGAAAACAAACGAAGAAGAAAGAAGAAGAAAAAGAAAAAAAAAGAAAGGAACCTACCGTCGGGGGTGATGTAATGCGCCCGATAATCCCCGAGCGACGTGGATCGCGTTCGCTGCACGAGGGGGGCGCGGGGGCGGCCCTGTGACCCTGGCGTGGGGGACGATGACCTTAGCTGCGGGGGACCTCTTGGGGCTGCAAGACCTTCCCTGAAGACGGCGGCGCAGCGGCTGGGGCGGCGGCGGGGCGGAGGGGGGGAGCAGGAGGCGGCGAAGGGCTGAAGGGATCTGAAGGGGAGAAGAGAGGTAAGTAACGAAGATTATGATGATGATGAAGAAGAAGAGAAGAAGAAGAAAAAGAGAAGAAGAAGAAGTATTTAGATGTTCTTAGTAGCAGTACTAGAAAAAGAGGAAGAAGAAGCAGTAGTTGCAATAGCATTAGTCGTAGTAGTAGTAATAATAGTAGCAGAAGAGGAACAAGAAGATGAAGAAGAAATGTGGAGGAAGAGGGAGAAAAAAAAGAAGCAATAGTAGTACTAGAAGAAGATGAAGAAGAAACAATAATTCCAATTTCTAGACACGAGCAACGCGTTTCATGAAGAATAAAAACACCAGCCTAAAAAAAAAAAAAAAAAAAAAAAAAAAAAAAAAAAAACTTGAATGGCCCTCATTCTACCAGCTGGAAAGACGCCAAAATCGTTAAGAATGAAGGCGCATGACACGACATCTCATGGACATGTCACTCACGTTTCTCTCGCATGCGGTGGCTGAGACATGAACGTGTGTGTGTGTGTGTGTGTGTGTGTGTGTGTGTGTGTGTGTGTGTGTGTGTGTGTGTGTTGTGTGTGTGTCGTGTGCGTGTGGCGTGCGTGCGTGTGGCGTGTGCGTGGCGTGTGCGTGTGCGTGTGCGTGTGTGCGTGTGCGTGTGCGTGTGTGGTGTGTGTGTCACCTCTCCCTGCCTCCCAACACTCTATAACCTCTGCTTACAATTCCTTTTTCTCTCGGGTGTTGGCTGCTCCGTGACTCATAGTGTGAGAGGGAAGGAGAGAGGAGGGAGGAGGGAGGAAGGCGGGTGTTAAGGAAGGAGGGATGTAGGGAAGGAGAGAGACAAGAGACAGGGAAGAAGGAGGGGGTGGGAGGGAGGAAAAGAGAGGGAGAGGGGTGGAGTAAGTGAGCGAGAGAGGGAGGTAGAGAGAGAAGAAGAGAGATGAGAGAAAAGAGAGAGAAGAGAGAGATAGAGAGCAGACTAGAGATATAGAGAGAGAGAGAGAGAAGAGAGAGAGAGAGAGAGAGAGAGAGAGAGAGAGAGAGAGAGAGAGAGAGAGAGAGAAGAGAGAAGAGCTATTGTACGTCAAGGCACCTTTATTGTTCAAGCATTTATATACCGGAGGAAGGAATGTTATTGAGTAGCCAAACGAGAGCTTCTGACCCCCCCACCCCCACCCCCCGCCGCCCCTTTAGAGCTTATCAGAACTCATTCAAGCTCTATAAAAGGTCTTTAGAGAAATGCCTCTCGTTGTGGCCCTGACTTACGAATAGGTTGGGGTGGGGGGGGGGAGGGGAGGCAGGGGTGGCACTGTGCCAAGTGACCCGCGCTCGTATGCGGAATCTCGGCAGAAAAACTCGCTCTGTTGAAAACATTCACGGCCATGAGCGGAGATTCATCGACAGAAGTAGAGATGTAAGTTAGTAAGGTAAGAGGAAGAAAAAAAAGAGAGAATTAGATTTAGAAATTACACGTCCCTTCCCTCCACACTGCCAACACGTTTCCACTGCCAACATCACTTCTTCCACGCTGCAAGGGGGAATTTAGATAGATACAGACAGTTTGTTGCACACTTACCTTACCTAAGTAGGAAGACACACGTTTATTCAACTATTTTATCAAGGATACTAAAATGTACTTGCTTCTGCTGCAGCGTCATCAGAAAAGGGGAAAAGGCAGAAATGTATGGAAATATATACTCTAAATTCACAGGATAATAATCAAATTTCTTTTTCAATCTGCTGAATTTCCATTTGTTTAGATATACTTTCATTAGCACACAAATGGAATGTAGAAAATAAACTAAGATTAGAGAATTAAAAATAAAATAACTATTAGTCACACGAGAGAAAACGAAAGTATGTTATGCTGTCGATACATAGAAAATATTTATATGCCATGCTACATGCCTTATCTAAAACACGTTAGAATACCACGCGCGAGTCTACACACACATGGAATCAGCATTGTAAGCTTATCTATGTGCTGTCTATGGTGATCGTAATATGTTGATCACATGATGCTTAGACTGGCTATGATGACTGAGTTTGTAATCGATGAGAAGTTCCTTGCAGGTTATGCTATGACGTCACGAGAGGGCTGCTAGACCGTCCATGCAAAAATAACACGATAACTGCATGTTAGAGGAATCACACGAGCGAGACTTGAGGTGAGGCATCGACGCGGAACACACACACAGGCGCAAGGACCAGGCGGGGTCTTCGCGATCCACCGCCCCTCTAGACACCTTCTGTACCTTCGTCGACGTCACTGGTTTGGCCTGGGCTTTCGTTGCTTCGGGTTCGTGGGGGGGTCTCGGCGGGTCGGGCCAGGCGTCCTCCGGCTGGTCTTCGGGCGAGGTCATGTCCCAGTAGCCTGCCTGCTGGACGGGGCCGGCGGAGGTCCTCTTGACCCAGGGGGCGACAGGGCGCACGGGGCCGGAGGATGGAGGGCGTTCCCTCGGAGGAGACTCCTCGTCCCGCGAGGAGTGCCTCTCGAAGGCCATGATGCGCTTGCTTACGGACTGGCGCACGTACTCGGGAGAGGGAAGGTCGTCGGCCTCCTCGCCCTTCTCGTCCTCGTCCTGGATGCAAGGAAGGATGGACGTCGGGGGCTTTATCCTGTCCTCCTGCAGGAAGCCCGGCGGAGGAGGGAGCGCTGGCTCGCCTGGGGCCTCGTCCTTCTCCAGGGGGGGCGGGGGAGGGAACTCCGGCTGAGGAGGGACGCTCGTGTCGGGGGCCCTGCTCGGCCTGGGTGGGTCCTGAGCGGCGTCGGGAGGCTTCACGGCCGCCGTCGGGGGCTCAGGGGTCTTCACTTTCCTCTCGGGTTCCGGCGGAGGCGCTGGGATAAGTGGCGCCGTAGCAGGCGGCGGAGGGGCCACGACAGACATGCTCTTCGCTTCGGGGGCAGTCGGAGGTGCTGGAGCCTTAGCCTCGCTCGCAGCCGCCGAGGGTGCCGACGGAGGGGTGCTTGTTGATGTGGATACGACTGAACTCTCCGAGGCGGACAGCACAGAGGGGGAAGGGGGTCTCAGCGGGGCGGGAGCGGCCGCACCTGCCGAAATGGGCGGCGTGACGGAAGTGACTGCGGGCTTTGGGGCTTGGGGCAGGGCTGGCGCGGAGATGATTTCAGCTGCAGTCTGTTTGGGCGGCAGCGGCGGCGTGGGTGAGCGGGCGGAAGACAGCTCAGGCAGCACTATGGGAGCGGGGGGAGGCGGCAGCGGCGGCGCCCCTGCCTTACTGCCAACAGGCTCGCTCTGGGTGGACGCGGGCGCACGGGAATCCGCCGAAGGGGAGGCTTTTGAGGAACTTGGGCCAGGCTGAGGTGAGGATGACTTGGCTCCAGTGGGAGGCGCTGAAGAAGGGCCCGCCGGCTCCTTCACGGCAGGAGAGGCAGGCTTGTTGGCAGCAGGGGCAAGGGAAGCAAGCTGATTCGCTGGAGCGGATACTGCTTGGTTGACAGCAGGTCCGGGAGAGGCAGGTTTGCTGACACCAGGGGCAGGGGAAGCAGGATGGTTGGCAGGAGATACCTTTTGGTTGACAGCAGGCACGGGGGAGGCGGGTTTGTTGACAGCAGGAGCAGGAGATACATTTTGGTTGACAGCAGGCACGGGGGAGGCGGGTTTGTTGACAGCAGGAGCAGATACCTTTTGGTTGACAGCAGGCACGGGAGAAGCGGGTTTGTTGACAGCAGGAGCAGATACCTTTTGGTTGACAGCAGGCACGGGAGAAGCGGGTTTGTTGACAGCAGGAGCAGGAGATGCTAGTTTGTTTGCGGTGGAAGTTGACGTAGAAGGCGTGGCTTCGGGGATGGAAGTTGCACTTTTGCTCTTAACCAAAGCGGACGTTTCAGAAGGAGCTGCTGACTTGGCTGCACTAGGTGAGGGACCTGCTGACTTGGCTGCACTAGGTGAGGGACCTGCTGACTTGGCTGCACTAGGTGAGGGACCTGCTGACTTGGCTACACTAGGTGAGGAGCTGCTTGACTTGGCTGCACTTGGCTGAGGACCGCGGGCTAGGTACAGAGCAGGAGCGGTTGCTGGGGGAGGCGGCCTGGATGCAGCAGCTGGCGGAGCGGGCGTCGGAGCGGGCTGAGATTGCTGAGGCAGGCCTGCAGCCTGTTCTTTCCTCGTGAGCGACTGAGGTGCGGCAGCGGCTGACTTAGCTGACTCTACAGCGCTGACTTCTTTTTCCTTATCCTGCTGCACCGACGGCCTCCTCCACGGCGCCTGCTGAGGAGGCTCGGCGCCCTTCGGAGCCGCAGACGGCGGACCTTCGCGGTCTGAGGCTGCCTCTGCTTTCGCGGTGCGCCATGGCGGTTGCTGCTGCTGCTGCTGTAGTTGTTGTTGCTGCTGTTGTTTCTGTTGTTGCTGCTCTTGTGGCCGCGCAGGAGCTGCCTGGCCAGCCGGTTCGGCCGCCGGCCTCGCCTTCCGCCAGGGTGTCGGGGACCCCGGCCCCGTCGCGGCAGCCGCGGCGCCGGCGGTGACGACGGACTTGCTCTCTGCTTCGCTCTTGACGCTGACCATCGTCACGGTGCGCTGCTCGAAGTGCGAGGCCTCCTGCTTGACGACCGTGGTGCGAGCGGAGCCTCCGGGGGTCTGTGCGGGTGCGCCTTGCTGCCCGGCGCCCTGACCTACACTGGCACCCTGCCCGCCCGCGCCCTCGCTTGCGGGCTGGGGGGCAGGGCCAGCGGCACGCCCTTCGCTCGCCTTCGGACCGACGCCCCTCGCCGACGCTTCGGACGCTTTCTGATCCAGCTGGCCGAGGGACTCAGAGCGGCGGCCCTGGTAAGGCTCCGAAGGCGAGGCGGCCGTCGCCGGTGTCTTGCGCGGCGCCCTTGACGGCGAGTCGGTCCTGGACCTCATCTGGTCGGCCCAGGGCAGCGGGCGCGCAAGGGACTCCGACGAGAGCGCCCTGCGGGACAGGTTGGTGCCGAAGAGGGACTTCCGGGGCGCGATGGGGCTGGCGCCGGGCGACGGCCGGTTGAAGTGGACGGGCTTCGGCTGCGGCTCCGTCACGGAGCTCGTGGGGCCCGCGGGCTTGGCGGCGGCGCGGCGCGAGGGAGGCGCCGCGATCGTAGCGTACACGGCCGACGGCAGCGGCGGAGGCTGTGCGTCAGGCTCGGCCCACGGCGGCACCGCGCGTTGGCTGGGGGCTTCCTGCCGCGGCGGCCACGGCGCCTTGCCCCGCTGGGAGGCCTCCACCGACACCTCCGCCATCCTGGCCCTGAGAGCTGCCTCCTTCGGACCTCCTGCGGCGGCGGCCTTCGCGGGGAAGAACTTCTTGCGGCGCTGCTTGGGCGAGCCGTCGGGCGTGGACGGCGCCGACGTCTGGTACCCGGTGGGGCTGTGGTACCCCGGGGGAGTCGAAGCCCGCGAGTCGGAAGGCGATGACGGGGAAGACTCGCCGCTCTGACGGCCGCCAAAGGGAGCGAGGGTGACAAGAACGGTGTTAGCGAAGACATAGTGAAGAACGACCGAGGAATAACCAGATGATCCAGCCAAAAATAATAACAATAAAAGAAAAAAAAGCATAAAACCCCCAAAATTTACATCCTGACCTGAAGACCCTCCCTGGGATACAATCAAATTTCTTGGGAACCTCAGAAGAAACATTTCCAACGTGAACTGATC